AGGCGGTTTCCGCCTCGACTTGGATCTGGAAGCACTTCTCGCACAGGAAATTGTCCGGATGCCTGAAGAAGTGGTACTCTGTCGGTGAGTGGTCCGCTGAATATGATGGATAGAGTAAAGTGTCGTAGTCCACACTGTTCAATCCTTGTGGTGTCGGGTATACAATGCGTTAATTCGTGCAGTGTCCATTTGTCAAGCTTCTCCGGCCCTCCAGTTGTCTTCTAAAAAATCGGTTCTAACTGGTATATTCCAGCCACGCTGAAGTAATTTGATAGCAGCGTGTAGGAGCTCACCAGCAGCTGGCAGTGGACTTTCGAATCAGCGATTCATGTCACTCTTCGAAAAGTACTCAGCAGTGTTTAGTTGGACCAACGGTAACCTGTTCGCTTTGTCTAATTTGCCACACTGTGCTTCATCAATAGCTTGTTGCGTCGGCAGTCAACTGTGAGTTATTGTGGAGGAAAACATCTAGTCATTTCTAGCGATAATTGATGATGATAAATGCGTGCGTGGTAGTATGTCTTTGTAATCGTCCTGTGATAATGATATTAATGTGTTCACAGGACGTTTCCACCTTCTTGGAACGGAGAAAGTTTTTTCATATAAGCCTAGCATGAAATCAATGGTTTGGCTGACATTCAACAGGTTTCAAGTCACCGACAAGGTGTATATTGCACGTCAGGGCCATCCACTCTATACGCCCATGTCATATCGAAGAATTATTTTTGAAATATATACTTTTTTTTCGTTAAGAGAACGAAAACCGATCATAAAGTATTACGTGAACACTGTGGGCTCATCTTTTGTGAAGGTGGTATTTTGTTACAGGGACTATGCGAATGTTGCAAAATTTCTTCGATTGTGATGCTCCCTTCTCAGTGCTTAATTTTCCGGTCATAACAGTGTAATTTTCATCATAAATGTGTTGCACTGATTTATTTACCTCAAACATTTGTGAATATTGAATGCCATTTTACAACTTTATCTTGGTTTCTACATCAGTGTCATACAGCAGGATCGTGTAATCAACTAAAGAATGCATGAAAATCTGCTTTCCCTCAGCGTATCCTTATTAATACACATTATGTAATTCGTCTTTTCACAACCTCTCACTGATGTTGTAGATGTTAAAATTTTACCAATTCATTGTTTTTTTTACCACGCGCATCTGCAGGCTTTGCGATGTGAACTTTTACACGATATAATCCTGCAACTGTGATCTTCAAAACCTTCACATTTTACGACTCACTGTCAGATGCTACCATTAAAGTTATTTGAATGGGATTATTTGTTGCATCGTCTGAAAAGTGAATTGGTCCGACATCTTTTCAATTCTTTATGCTAAGTCAAAACCAGTGCGAACCTCTTGCATGAACTGGTCTAGTTCTTCAGTATCAGCTTGATAGTGTTAGTCCATTACTTCTCTTTTGAGGGGCTACGTCCACATTTATTACATTTAATACAAAGTGATAACAATAGGGCAATCGGTTATGACCAATAGAGGGTATGAGCTATGCATTTGATGATATCAAGAATAGCATCGTTAAGAATGTCCGAATGAACATCTGCTCTGTACTCTACTTTTCGGTGACCTGACGATGTATGAAGTATTCCCAGAGAAACTTCACAGTAGAAAGCCTGTTTTCACGAATATTAGAGGAAACAAGACAAGTGAGTACATTCTATTTGAAGGATCTTAGACTAGTCTTGAGTATTGAAAATTGATGATGAAAGTGTACTGCTCTGTTGAATTAGACGAAGCTGAACAGACTTAAGTGAAAATTTTACATTCTCCTTGATTTTCAATAATTTGCTTCAAAATCAACGTGCTTACGATACAGGCGATGTAGCGCTTTCTTCTTAACCTGACTGATTCTTGCCGCCCACAGATGGGGACAGAAATTACTCAGTGATGGCCAAGATATGTCACCACTTTATCACTTGACTGATTGAGTTTCTTTCCCGATTCAGTGATTAGCAACTGCTCCATTGACGATGGAAGGACGGGATCGAATGTTACTTTCTTTGATTCTCTCTTAACAGTGCAATTAGCTTTGTCCTCCAGATAGGTCATATGCAGGGATAAAACTTGAAATATGTAGGGGTAGTGGGGATTATTTCCTGTAGAAGATTTTGTGAATCGAAAGTCGTCGTGCTAGTGATGAGGTTCAGAAGCCGAAACGTTCGCCTAGTCCTATGTAAGTGCCACAAGACTTAATGAAAGACTTGAATTATCTTATCAGATTATGTACTGTCTCAAACGAGATCATAAAAAAACCGCTGAAAACAAAGGTAAAACTTGTTTGTTTTTCAAACCCTCTTCACGGGGAGGTAAATTTTTGTTTATGATCGATTTACTCAATTTATATCAAAATTTGGAATTTGATTGTGGTTGAGGAATATAAATGCGTCGTGCAGCGGAATATGTTGCCAAAATCAGCGAACTCCTCTTGCTGAGCAAAAATCTGTTTTTTCGATGTGTTCTTTCGTCATTCAATAAATTGTAGTGGTGGTGATTGTTGCTCCTTTTTTTTGCGTACTGAACTCGACACAGGAAGATAATTGCTTGCTACGATAACACGATAAATTATCAAGATATCCGTAATGTACTTAACTTCACCGTACACATGAATGACGTCATTAATGCCTGAAGTAATGTGGATACAATCAAACTGAAGAATGCTCGAGAGTATTCATTCAAAAATTCTTCCATCGCCATTTTTTGCATAGTCTCATTTATTCTTCATGCGTTTATTTTATACGTGTATTCGCGTTTAGGGAAGAATAGCTGTTCATACCACTGGCCAACCTAATTTGTGGTTGAAGTTGAATGTACGCACCACTTGCTACTATTCTCTATTCGCAGTAAGTATTGAACATTTTGGCTTGATGTGTTCAAGAACAGCCTTCCGTTTCGTAAATTTTGAGATCCTATGGCCTTGACAGGCCGAAAAAGATAGTCTTATTTAGGGGCATAAAATAGATGAGCAGGGTATGTTTCTTATCTATGGACAACCCGTGATATTTTCATGAATGACTCCTAACTCGCTCTTCAAAAAATTGAGCATAGCTCTTCGCAGCTGACAAGCAAAACTCTACATTGTGTCAAATGCGACAATTGAAGAGAAAAGCGGTCATGAATCCGATTTGACGCATCTATATCTAAAGACTCTGATTCTTGCTTCTTCTGCACCGGATTTGCCTATGCATGCTTTGGCATCAAGCTATGCCTATCTGTTAAGGAGTATTTGCGTGCATGGTTTCGCTTTTGCACATCGGTTCGACCAAAAAATAGAAATTAAATGACTTTGAATTGTAGGCTAAATTAGTAAAAGCAGGAGAGCCATCTATGAGTATGTTAAGTTTCTATAGCATTGTTATTTAACAGTGACTACGTTCTCGCCAAAGCATGGGATTGAATGGCTTCACTCGGTAAGTGTGATTATTTCGTCTCTCCCAACCTAGTTGAGGACATTAAACATTTTTGCTGGCGACACAGGCGGAGTGAAAAGCTAGTGGTACCTCTTCGAAATTCTTTGTGATTATAAGATTAATGAAAAGAAGATTAAGATGATTTTTTTTGAAAAATACGATAAAACTGAAAATTAAGTGCTTGCTTTCTTCTCAGTTGTCTACTCACCATGCTTAACAATAAGGCTACTATATAAAACTGAACTTTAAGAAGATAGCTTGAAGACTTAACCAGATTTCCATAGTGTTCAAGTTCACTCTTTCACGTGACAATGATGAGAATAGAAGTCTTAGAATACGCTCTAACTTTCAACGCCGAAGAGCTGTGTTAGTGTGCTTTCAATCAAAAGGTGTGATATATGCAAATAGCAGCGCTTCAATGTTCTCCAAACGTAAGCGCAGGAAAACTGATATTAGAGCAAAACTCTGACCCCGATTACGCCTTTCCAAGGCTTAGCAGGTCAAAACATGACTGAGAGAGACAGGAACTTTGAATGTGTAATGGAAAACTAAGTGTGTCCCGTATATAATTGCTTGTTTGAAGACATTTTCCAATTCCAACTTCTGCTCGTCGTAACTCAGCATTCGTATTTCACACCATATATAAATGCGGCAGTAAATATTGTTTAGAATTGTACATACAGTTCACAACTGGTATATTACTGTTACTGCATTTTTTTAAATGTCACAAGGCCAATCAAGCTTTTCTCTTTCCCGCAACATCGTAATGTTATCCTAACGTAATACAAATAGCATGATGTAGTTCATATACAAGAATGTTAGCTGTAACTAAATTTTTTTCCAGTTAACATTTTTTTGAATGTTATACAATTTGATTAACACGGGATGTGGTTTTCTTCCGTAGCAATGCAGAAGCACTTTCATCACAGAAGCCGTGCAAAAGTTTTAACATCATCTTTCAATGAGCAGCTCCGATCTGAAAAAGCATTCAGTTGCTCATCATATCGAAAATACCAGGGGAAATTATTCAGGAAAAACTATCAGGAAAGAGAGCAGATTTTCCCGAAAGCTCTTCCTCGGACATCTCCAATAAAATTATGGTATGGTAATGCACTTTTTTTTATAAAAATTGATAAAGGTTTGATACAAGCGTTTCATTAGGTAGTTTCATTCCGATAAGATTAAAGAATCTTCGTACACAGATCCTATTCGGCAGAGAGTCGCTGTCCTGATATGTGTAATATCATTTTCAAAGATGAATCATAGGCATTTTCGGCTTTTCATACTTGACTGTTTTGCTGTTGTGTTTGAGTGCGCTAATGTAACAAAATTATTTGGCGTAAAGTTAACATGCATGCGCAAATTTAGTTGGGTCCGTTCAAGCGAATAATGTACGGTAATGACACCTTGCACGCCACCACGATCACTTATCTTCTAGTTTGTAGTGCGAAAAGAAAACTGAAGAAAACCAGAAATTCGACTACTTTTGGAGCTTCGCTTTTTATTATATATATATATATATAATATATATATATATCCAATAATGTAGTGTGCTGTGCAAAAACATTTGCTTCAGCTGGGATTCGAACCCAGTTCTCACTCTTTCCGGGAGCGCTTGCTAAACCGTTGCATTACCCACACTCGTGTTGCACGACACTCTTTCTACGCTACAACCCTTTATCTGTCAACAGCCAACCGTCGACAATATATATATATATATATATATATATTACAAATTCTTAAAATTTCACCCTCTGTTTTGATTAACATCACAAATATGTTTTAAATACTGAAAGAAGTGAAAAAACTTCTTTCCACTAGTCTATTCATCAACACTTTCCTCATCGCCAGGTTCAGTCCCTCCGCACTCTTCTCCAAGACACACTGAAGCACTAAAAACTTTTCATCTTCTTCCTCAGTTTTTCGTTGTCTTCTTGCTCACTTTTCATGAGCAATTTATTGATGACGAGATCTTTTGATAATATGATTCAGCTGTGTATAAATCAGTTCTATCTTCTCTTCCTTTGTCCATTGTAATAGTTACGATGTAGCACAACTATCATATGGGATGGAAAATGATCAATAAAGAGTATTCACAAATGCCGAAATTTAGCTCATATATATATATATATATATTTATTTATATATATGTAATGGGATTGATCATTGAAAATGGTGGCTACATGTTTGGATAATCAGCGAGTTCTTCACCATGCACTTTGGTTTAATATGTTCTCCAAAACATGCGAAGTATCAAAGAATTTAGAGAGAGTGTACAATATGGAGAACCAGAATAGATATACTAAAGACACAAAAAGGTGAGCATATTTTTGGGTTGAGGCAGAATGACGATTAAGTCCACTCAGCTGCTAAGAACTAGGCGTCCTCACAAGCAAATGTGCAATTATGGAGTAAGGTGCATTGATTTCAATACGCTAATGCCCTATAAAAATTGAGCATCTAAGTTTTAGACAAGCACATTTGAGCTCATTGTAAACTTCGTCGTTGGAAAGAAAATCATCAAAAATGTATCTCTTTGCCATATGAACACATGTTCTATTACTCTGCATTGTAAAACTCAATTTGTGGAGGCCATGAATTTCGTGTAATTTTGTGTACATTCAGATTTCATGCTTGTCCAATCTTATGGTGAGGATTTCATATTGAACATTGTAACAAAGTTAATCGTCGATATTATGCAAGATGGAGATATTGCTGATGTTGACACTGTGTAACCCGAGAAATATAGCTAATTTCCTTTTGCTTTGCTTCATCACCAGGCGACGTGTTCTTGTCTGAGTGGGACTCCCGTTGGACGGAATTTTACGAGGTGTGTCAGTACGGTGACGACGTGGTGGTTCCGATCCGATCTTGCTGTCCAATAAGTCTCTGAACGTTGTCGCCGCATTGGACGGCCATAATTGCGTCGCCGGCAGGCTCATCACATCGCGATTGTTCGCTCAAGATGCTCTTCGCTTATTCGATTCCGGCAAGTTGAATGCATCAATTATGTTCTGTTCTCGTCCCCTTACTGCTCTTTCTTTGCTATACGCTGGCTGTACCCACATTTTGCTAGTTTGTCGTTTTTTTCTTGTGATTTCATATCACTACAGCGTTTATTCACTACAAACTAGAGCGTACTTCCTTCTTTATACAATTTTTTTTAATTTTTTGCCTTGCATTTTTCAGTAATGAACATCGTGTTAAAAGGAACGTAGGCTTAAAGATGTAGATTCCTTTCACGCAGAAGTCCTTATGCAGTCAGTAGCGCTCAACTGAAAAATTCAAACATTTATGTTGTCCAGCTGTTTCACAAAGCTGCTCCGTATTTGATCGCAACCCTTCACACATGTTCTGCTTTCCATTTTTCGCATTACCTCAAACACGGTATGAAGCAGAAACTAACTCCAGGATCAGAAATTCTGATTCGTCTAATGTGGTTAACTAACCACAGGCTTGTTATCAATAGAAACGAACCATTTTGCTCAAAAAAAAAAAAAACTTGACGCGTTCGCTTATAAAAAAAGCTACTGATACACTCAGACTATTCAATTATAACTTCTGTTTGATATTCCATAGTTTTTTTAGCAATAGCACGTATTAGAACGTTTGCTTACATCGCTGAACCCCACCGTACTGGACATCTCATATCACTTCTAAATTCAATGCTTCTGAATAGTATAAAATTGCATTATGCGTAGCCGAAAGCCCACACAAATAATAACTTTCAGTTCTGATCTTTCTATCCACTTCAATCACTCTGGTTTCTACTTCAAAACCAATTAATACGTGGCCCTCTCTGCTGTTTTAATCCTTAATGCAGACAAAATGTGGCTTCAAAATTTATACTTCCACTAACATTTTTTATAGCACCTTTAAATAGTTGAGCAAGGACTTCGGTGGTTGCTAACACGCGCCTACGGTATGGGTGAAGTACGGGTTAAACTCCCTTTTCATTTTTCAAGTTTGCATATCACTCAACTTTCTTTGATACAGTTGATCAAATATTTACGTAAGTATTTGGTTTTTAGAATCAAAAATACTAGAGGATAATCTCAATAATATTTTTTGTGTGATCACCTTATTCATTTTGTCATTTTCGTAAAATTCGATGGTATTCAATATTGCTCTGCTAAAGCGTACAGTTGCTATCAGTGAATATCAATCACGCCTAGAAGTGCGCCTTACTCCGTAATGTAATCACCTTAGCTTTCATGGTTCCTTGTTTATTGCACGGTGAAGATATGAATGCCGATAACGAGGAGGAATCCTCAGGGGTTTCAACGACCGCGTCCTATGGCAAATCAAGTGCTCCCACTTTTCATGGAAATATGCCAGTAGTTTGTTGAGTTTAAAGTTCTCAAAGCTCAATCAGAGATCTAGTGTTCATGTAGCTGGAGCTCTAAACAACTGACAAATTTTTTCTCCACCATTCATCATGTTAATGCAAAAATCTGACTGTTTTATAGCCACGATGTGTGTAACAACTTCTTCACTAAATAAGCGTTACAGTGAGCATCTGGGCACAACGGTTAGAGATACCGCAACACATGCGTAACTGTCGGTTTGATCTTGTGTCGCGGGCTCACAAGCCCTCCATCTCTTCGGGGTTGAACAAGTGGTACCGACCTTGTCTGAGAGGATAGCAGCAGTGATTTCGTAGGTTGACAGGCCAGCGCAAGTCAGCCTAGAGGTCGCACAATCAACTCAATGACTTCCAACGATGAAGTCAAATTTGTGGCGCATCCCTCAAAAACTGATCAATCTCGAAAACTTTAGGCTTTATGGATTGAATATACTGATCATGTAAATCGCACTTAAGTTTATTTTTTGCTGAACAGTTTCCATTGCATATCTTTCAAAGGCTCACTCGCAATGATCTTAAGCTCACTAGAATGATATTCTTCAATTGTATCGATCGCGCCATTTGGTTCCATGAGTTTTAACTAAAAGATAAAGCAGCGGTATCGTCCAAATGCCACCGATGTATCTGCTAGGGAATTGCCTACTAAAATCCACCCCCACAAATCATTTTTGGGATCTCATAATGAAAATATCACTTTTTCTACGCGTTGATAGCAACTGACAGTGATTTTCTAAAGGCGATAGTCGTGTTTGCACCTCCAAAGACTATTTGAAAGCTTTGGGTAAATTATTCATCCATATTTTGGGGATACTGAAGAAAGGCAAAAGTTTCAGATGGCGCGTGATTCGAGCGAATGTTAGCGAGCTCGCCGTCGTGAAGTTTGCTGCACTTTTTTTCATACAACAAAAACGACACATTTCTAGATGGCATTGTGACGTGTGACGAAAATTGAATCCAATGCGTCAACAGATGACGTCCAGCAAGTACTTTGAAATGAGATAAGATTCCTAAACGCTTTCTAGCACGAAGTTTACATCAAACATTGATAATGACTTTGTCATTTGTCTTGGATCTAAAAAATAAACCCAGCAAAGTAACACTGTCATGAAATTGATAAAGTACTATGAAACTGAGCGGTATCTCTCGAAAATTATTAACTACGAAATTGTGGCGATTGTATTAACCCCCGTAAGGCACCAATCGTGCTTTGCAGTCATCGCGAAATCTCCGTCCAAAATTCCAAAAACTAAGCAGCCGCGAACATAATTTATTTAGGGAGTTTGTAGCTTCCAGATATTATATTTCTCTGTTACATACACGGATGAATGTGCATTTTGCTGGGGAAACCTTTTGGGTTGTAATAGCTGTTGACTTGGTGAATGAAGTTCATTGTTCAGGTGAATTTCACCGTTCAAGTTATATTGTTCGAAATCAGCGTTCATCTTCAAATCAGCGTGATATAAAGTTTACTCAGCAGTATCTAATGGTTTTTCTTAAAACTTCCAAGGATTAATATAAATATCAAAGGCATAGCTATAGATTGAACTTTATGTAATAAACATTTCTTTGCTTATGTATTGATGTTGATCAACCATAGAGATTTTAATGTCCGCAATGATGTACACTGTAAAAATGGATGTCTTATTGACAACTCTTTGATTCTGCTCCTTTTTTATGACCATATCCATGGAAAAACAACTGCGAAGGTTTGATATCTAGAGCATATAAATCATCGCAAGCTTACTGTTCTGTTGAAATTTGAGTATACGGTGACGTATTCATTTTCGAATTGGCGTCTACAGGAAAGAGCAGTTGTTACTGCACGCTAGAACACAGCCTCTGTTCAGTCAACTTACTGTCACATTGCGGAGCTATTTCTCCAAAAGCCGTGAAGTGATAGCTCTGATTGGGTTATAAATTTGTCAAAAACTATAACGTTGATTTCGCACACAGTGCTGCATAAATCATAAGAATTTCTTTCCAGAATGTCAGGCTAAGACGTATAGTTTCTTCCCTTTTGGGTAACAAACTACTGAAATTTATGGCTTTGAACTAATCGCAATGGGATCGCACGTGGTGGACGTTTAAAACGTGGAAACGTTGCGTCGCTGAATGTCCGATACTTTTCCGTTATGCGCACCCTATTTTGACTTCGCGAAACAAAATTTTTTTCGAATGTTTTCCAGGTCAGAGCAGCTCTTCAATGGTTCAAATCGAAAACAATCAAGTGGTGTGCCTTTGTTTCGAAACGGCCTTATTATTGCACGGCAA